CTGTTTAAACGCAATCTGATGTGTTAGAGGCACTCAAGGCAAACATACCCTATATACATGTGCGTGTTCTGGATCGATAACAAAGTTTCTAGCTCTGCACAAAATCATGCAATAGATGTAAGCAACTTTCTTTAGTAATGGACCCTCTTCAAAACCAGTCATCACCGCCAGCAGTTCCGACCAGCCAGCAAGAGTGCAACAGGGACATCTTGTTCTCTGTGTGTGGTATACCTCATGATCGGGTAGAAATGCGCAGTGAAGTCGTAGAATACGACGTATGAGGTATATCACGGCGCAACATCGTAGGTTAGCCGAATATTGGACCAAAATTTCCTCTGTTAGACCCAAGTCGAACAAATAGTTGCATGCATCGTCATACTGCGTGTGGAAAAGTAGTTCTGGTAGTCAGAGCAAATCTGGCAGTATGACATCGATGGAAACTTACGGCAACTATTACTTACCACTAGATATTGTTTTCTGGGAATGTCGATGGAACCGACGGAATATAAATCATAGAAATGCCATGGAGTCACGACAGGCATGAGTGTTTCAATACAAGATCTCACTCTTTGACCCAATGCATTAACCTAAACAAAAGTTACAATGTATTACCGCCGTCTTCTATCAGCGATTTAGTTGTAGCAATGAAAAATAGAGTTTAAGTACGAACCTGCGATTCCGTATACCTATTATTAAAGACCTGCAGTAGATCTTCTAACAGTAATGCATCTTCAGAACGTGATCTCAAACGAGCACACCAGATAGCCGTCACAAACAGCAACGGATAATCCTTTGCCATAATAAGTGTTTTGCAGGTCACCAAATCAACAATAGTTGTAACTACGTGCACATCCTCGTCAAGCAGAGCAACACACTCTTGCAACTTTGAGTGAAAGAGGATTTTAGGCAATAAACATTCAAAAAATGATGGAGTCATACACTAAAGGAAATTTATTACCTCTATCAACCAATTAAATGCTTTCGAGCGCATGTCAGCTGTAACATCAGTTCGTACGAGAAATTCGGGATCATAATATCTCATCTGTCGATTATCTTTTTCTAGCTGGTCCAAAACATGCTAAAAATAGTCATTAATCAGGATTACACCCCCATCAGAAGTTGGCAATGCATCCACACAAGTAACATACCCTTTGGTATTCTTTTAGCCTTTCCAGAATTTCATTTTCAGGACGCTTTTCCAAGATTGATGGATCAATGTAAGTTTGACCCATGGAATAACTGAAAAAACGCAAGGCTACCGCATATTTTTCCACACATTGAGCATCGTGAGCTGCCATTATTGCATCCCTGTCTACGTCCGTGATTCCTCCACATGCTGTCGCATCTAACACGGTGGTGATTAAAAAGGCATTAAAGTGAATGACTCTATATAATACAATACAGCTTAGTATAGCATGGGGGAATTTGCTCAAGCTTATTGCCATTGAATAGGAATAGGTGTTGAATTGAAATGAAAAAAGGCTTACCATTCTGAGGCGCTTCTGGCTGCTGTTCGTCATCATTCTCTAAGGGTTTTTAGAAAAATATTATTAAGTTATTCTCATGACTGCTGATGATGCTTACGTTGTACTGAACATGATGCGTTGTTATTTTCATTGTGACCTAGGGAAAGAATTTATAGTTAGTCAGGCCTAAAAATACGCATCACGTACTATGTTTTACTGGGTCATGAGGTTTTTATGTATTACGCATTCCTTCAGTAGGGCAAAAATTTGAAAGAGTTGCAGTTATTTAGTGAAGCAAAGTCTACTTTTCATTGAAAAACTTAGAGTTTGTGCGTTGTCATAGTAAAATATAGCATGCCTTTTTCTGCCTTTTTGCAACATTCTCCCGAGTGTGCCTTTCCGCATGATTCTGTGAAGTAAAAAAATGACAGCATAAATTCTATAGCAAATAATATTACTTACCTCCGTCACACACATTTTTGGCTTTTACATTATCACAATTTTCTGAAAAATGAATACATGTTGATGACGTTTTCGACAAATAAGAGGAAACTATCAACAGGAGTAAAAATGGCATACTTTCTGGCGACGAATTATTACATTGCTCTAAGAGGAAATGATAAAATGACATTTAAGGGGATGAAATCCGAGCCTACTGTTTGATTGATGGCCGAATGAATTATTAGTTGGACATTTCGCTAGAGACAGAAAGATGTAAATAAAGACCAAACACTCTACGTACGTCCATGCGGGCAATTCTGAGACTGTACATAATTATAACCATCTAGATGGGAGAAAAATTAGTCAATTATACCTGATTAATGTAGTGATACATACTTGGAATTTCAGGTAACCTAACAGGTTCAACATAATTGCCTAGAAAATACAAATTAAATGGATTAGTTCTGAAACGGGATCGCTGACCTACGCCGTGGTGGTGAAGGCTGTCGCCACTCCTTGCTAATGCATTGAGCGTATTTACAAACTAAAGTAATGTTACTGTAGCAAATGCAGTAGGTACGTTGTGCCATTAATGTTGGCGGTTGTGTATCTTCATTGTAACCTATATGGATAAATAAATGTCCCATTATCCCAAATAAACGAGGTGGTACGTACGCGGTGGTGCTAGGTCAACAGGTTGGGTGCTGCCATAGTTCACTAAATAGGTTAAGATTTGTTGCTTAACGAAATGGGGGCAAACTTTGCACTGACAGGTCCCGAGGTTGTATGTTGTCGCATGACTGTGTATATTGAGCATCTGGTGAGATAAAAACAAACAATAAATAAGGTCATACTTTGTGGTTGGCAAGGGGGAGCTTGCATATTTTCACAAGTTCCTACAATTAGAACTCATCAATGCGAATCATACCTTGCATTGAAAAATATTGGGTTTGTGGGCCATAATATCCAGCCGTATACCGGTAAACTAATGAAGCATCAGGTAAGTTAAATACTTGCATACTTCGTGAGAATAAATCATCCTTCATTTCAGGGAACTTTGCTACAAAATGAGTGTTTATTTAGCAACCATTTTACCTTGTATCGACATATCAAGTGATTGCGTGTTAATACATCCACCTGTATAACGAAGAACTATTTAGAAGCAATAATAAAGTCGAATAATTGCAAACTTCTTTCTGTCAATTCGTCGTCTTGGCTGTTTCGATAAGGCCCTACATTAAACATATTGTTTCACAAGAAATTTTAGCCTACCTTGCATTGATAAATTTTGAGGTTGTGTATAACCACATCTTTCTGTAAAAAGATAAATGTATGTTTTCATAATTCATAAATATTAATTGTACCTTTGATGAGGAAGTCCTGAGGTTGCGTATTGCAAGGAGCTAGCGGAGACCAATGCTATCAGAGAGGTACCTACCTTGCATGGATGACAGAGTCTCTTCCATAGTTTTTAAGTCCTCTGTAGACGAAATACATTCGTTAATGTCATTTTATACCTTGCACTGTTTTATCCATTAGTCCATCGTTATTACAAAGCTCTAAAGTAGAGACATACTGCTAAAGGTATTGAATGGTATACCTCGCATTTGCTCACGCGCTCGCTGCATATTACACTGAATTTCTGCGAAGGCGAATATTGCCATATAATCATTTACAAGGGTTCCAACTTACGATCTTCCATATTTCCCATTGTTGGAATGTTTTCTACACAATAGAAATTTTGAAATTTTATTTTACAATTAAGATGTTGCTAACTTCCCATTGATAAACCCTAAGGTTGTAGAAAGTCCAGTAAGGCAATACTATACTTAAAAGAATGGTATACTTTTCATCATTAGGTTAACATTTTAAATAGTTCTACGAATAGCTATCTGAAAAATGGATAGGGAGTAGTTAATGAGAAGGGTGCATATTACCACATTTGCCTATACAGGGGTCAGGGAGTTTCGACCGATGGAAGTTATTCTTACCTTGCATTCCATTGCATGGTCTCATGTTTTGATAATTCCCTAGAAAATGCGAACTCAGTAGTATCATATTGCTGGCATCACAGTTCCCTTGTAGTGTAAATTTATGCACCAATTTTATACTTTTTTAACCATGAAGAATCTCACCTATAGAAGGTACGCATGCCTGCTGTAGACTATTATAGCCCACTCCAGGCATCGGAGTGCTCCAGGCACCTTAAAATGAAAGTTTATTTCGTATTCGTGATAATTTTTATAATGCTTTTAAAAATACCAGAAAACCCACCTATTTGGGGTGTGGGTGCACCTTGTGGGTCTACGCAGTACCCTACAAGTCAAAAATAATCATTTAGTAACTTGGTAAGAAGTGGCGTACTTTGATTTGGATAATTCTGCATTCCCATCATTTTGACGATTTTTGCTGTTGAATGCTATATTTCCATATGTTAATTACAATTAATAAATTTAATTACACTGTGATTTCTGCTTGCTGACTTAGCGTATTCCTGGTCCTCACTGAAGAAACTCGGGTGACCTGCGACTTGCGGCGACAGAGTCAATTACAGCACTGTCAGCTCTGCTGGCGCGAAAATGACAGCACACACAATCGAGACGTAAAAAAATACTTAATTAAATTTCCAATAAATCAAAAGTTGAACGATCGATAATTAGTTAATTGCCACCACGCTGGTAGGGGCGAGAAAATGGACGGTGATTTTACAGGGACAGCAATGGGCGTAAAGTAAAGTGACGTGGAAAATTTTAACTATATTTCTTCTTTTTTGGGTACTTTAAAGTGCTTTTTAGGCAGAGCTTAGCATTTAAAAGTTTCCACTGCTTGGCGGCATTTGTTTTTGCAATGACACTTGGTGAGTCTAGAGAAATTTTTCTCAAACTCATTGTCCACTTCCAATGGGAGGCTAGCAAAGGGGGTGAAAATCATGTCAAATTCGTAAAATTTGAAATCATCTGGTTAAGGTTAGAGAGTTTGGAAATCCTCAAAACGCCTTGAGGAGAACAGAACAGAAAAACAGAGACGTTGTTCAACAAGGAGATGACTGGCCTCACGCGGAATTTGGCCTTTACTTCGGAGAGGCAAATTTCAAAATAAAAAGATGAATTTGAATGGCTGTTAAATTTTGAGCAATAGCGTCCACTGACACATCAAGATGCCCACCGAACGAAGGGCGAGGTAGACCCAAGACAATGGATGTCTTCACTTGCGACAGTCACGTGTGTCGCAAACTATTTAACAGAAGTGAAATTCTTTCGTTAAACATGAGGTACTTCAAAGCAGCGTTTCGTACTTAGTTCACCTCCTTTCATCTGCCTCTCAAGTCAGAGGTCTGTACGATGCCTCCGAAAAAGGTTACCAACCTTCTCATCAACGCGTCTGATTCCTCTCGCCTCACCACTCACTGCCTCTGGTCATCCCTTCAAACGCTTTCAGCGAGAGCACCTCGAGTGTGCTCCATGTGAAAACCAGGCACTTCACAGTAAGACAACACCTCACTCCACTGAATGCATTGAATAATGTCAGTTAAGCAGCATGTTGGTGCCTGCTTGCTGCCACGCACTACTCACACCGTCACATTTCACCAAGTGCTTCAACAGTAAGGGGAAGAAGATGTCTATTTTGCATGCGTGAATCAAATGTGCTTATTGGTTGCACAAATTCCTACAGAATACTTGCTGCAGACACATTTAGGGGGAATAGGTGACGGTTGGTGTGCTTATCATCCTGTCATAGGCTTGACGCGCCACTATGGAGTTGGTTCGTGACACCCGTTGCCACGCGAGCGTCGTCTAGGCCTCTCCCCTCTCACACACTTCTCAGTCGTCTATGCAAATTCCAGACGAGTAGGTTGCCTCGGCTGCACTTAAGAGGGCGCCTCTCTTCATCACTCTTGTACCGCAGCCATTAAGTGGTTCGGATGCTGCTTGACCTGGGAGAGCACATCCAGCATGTCGGTTGGAAATGCACTCAATCCGGCCATTTCTCTAGTTGAATGGAAACAACTCGGCTGCTCCATTCCCACGACATCACCACAATGATGGAGCCTCCACACAACAGTCGAATTATCATGCTCATCGCTTCCCCTCTCCTACGCTTTTAACTCATTCACCGAAAGAGTATCCTAGGTCACTAAAACCACTTGTGAGAGGAGAGGAAGGCGAACCCCATCTTAAACGCTAGCTAACATGATTTCCACTGCTTCGTGATAAACCTAAGTGGGGTGGAGGAAGTGGATACACTGTGATTAGGAGAATCTGTGATGATCTTTAACAGACAGGCAAAAATGGTGTCACCCTCTGCAGATGTCACGGTCCCATGTTCTACAGGAATGCTAGGAACGACTGAGGCAATACTGCCCTTGAAACATCTGGCAAAGTCTTGCCCACCGCACCTGTATGATGTGTACACACGGCACCTCCCTCACCTCTCCATCACCTAGACAGAACACAAATACGTACGTCCCAGCAGTTCTGAGGTGGGAAGGAGTAGCAAAGAGAAATAAAGGCGAAACTCTTTCCCCATGGAACGACGCTAACAACTACCGTCTTCCGTTACTTGAACCTGCTTTTAGGCAAGGGAAACGCATAATGGTCAGCGCATTCTTCTGCCCCTCATTCCATTTCCAACATGGAATAAAAACTACATGCAGTTAAATTGCCAAGGGAGGTCAGTGATGTTGGGGTCAAGCATCTTCTCAATTGCATGGAAATTCGATGACTGTCACGACTGTCTCCTAGGTGTTTCCCTACTGCACCGACTACATTTCAGTGGCTGGTTGGGAGAAAGGGGAGTTGACCAAGGAGAGCGGTGGAGACCGCGCCAATTAGTTGTGTTCAGACTCTCAGTTTTGGTAAATGGACGACCTAAGTGGGCCTTGACTGTACCTCCTCCCGGTGAGCTGGTCTCCACCCCATGCCAGCAGTCCCATCCCCTTCTCCATGTCCACCATGCATATTCTGTCCAAGTATTATATCTCCTTTCGTCTTCAGGCAAGTCCCGATTGAAAAGTTCCTCCTTCCTTATCGCATCTTCTCCTTGAGCAACCTCGATCACTCCAACAATTCTTTGCATTTTTCACCTTTTGTGTTAGTCAAACCTTTCCAGTCACCTAAAACTACATACCTGACAAGTGCTACATTGAACGAAGCAGATACGATCTATTCTGAATTAGCCCTGATGTTACCACCACACCGAATTCGCACAACTTTGCACACTAAATCCACAAGTCTGTGACCAAACCGTGTTCACCACGATGTTTTTCATTTCCAATCATGGCAACAGAAAACTTGCATATTTTTGAAAGGCTCTTTGTGAAGCTGCCTCTGATTTCGGTTGCAGGAGTAAGTGAAAGGAGGCGTTAATGCAGAAGCCGGTTTCAAACGCCGAATTATCCTCTCCAAAGCACACATCTTCCTCACTCTCGCCATGACCCACCCCAATGGGCGTGTGATTGGGTGCAAGAAATGGGAGACTAGGCGTCCTTAATAATACCATTCCAACGGTGGTTCAAGCAGAAGGAGAAGATGCCTTTCTCTGCATTGAATATGCCCTTCCACCTAATGACACATCAAGTCAGTTTATGCGTGCCAGAAGGCAATGCATCACTCGGACTGTCCTCCTATCCGGCCAGAGGTTTCATCATCACGGATGTCCAAACCTAGCAATGACTTTGACTTCCTGTGGAGGGAAGATTGAGGGAAGAGTGAAAGTCGTCAGGAGCTCATGGGTTGCAACTTGTTGGTAGTAAGGACGTGAGCATTTCGCTTATGCGGCCTGCGTGTATGAAAGAGGAGAGAAGCAAGTGGCATGACAATGGCGTTGGATTCCAAAGCATCATGCTATGATCGAAAGCTAATTTTAGTCTCAC